GACCCATTTCCTTTGACGCGTCCCACGATTTTCTCTTAAAACCACATCGACCTCATCATGGCCGTGTCAATTTGTAAGAGATTATGTGACTAATGTTAATGCCGCCCGGGGCGGGCTAACATTTTTTGCCGCCTCTCCCACGAAATAAACTCAGCGGTCGGACGAAAGTGCCGTCAATCCATATTAAGAAGAAAAAAAATGCCGCTGGGTCGGACCCCCCTCCCCCTCCTTTGCCAATGCATGTGACAAAAAAAGCTGCCACTGATTTTACAGTCGTAATACAGACAGAACAGACGCGTTATATAAATACAATAAAGCATAATGTTGTCTAGTTTACTCACATATTTGTTTTTATTAATGTGTGACACTGTTCTTTAGACTCATTGAATTTTTATGAACAAAATATATATTTAAAAAACTATACAAGCGTTACTCGCCCTGAAATTCATGTTACTGGGTTCAAAAGTATAGAAACATAAGTTATGATGAATAATTTTGTAAAGAAATAAAATACAAATTTATTTACACTTCATTCTTTGAAAAGTAAATATTTTCATGAAAACACGTTATCATAGAAACTGCATTGCTTGTCGTTTGTGTCCAGAAAGGGCTTCTCGTGTTTTGGAAAGAAGAGTCAAATGTTGATGAGAAAAATTGATACACTAAACAGACCTTATATGAAGTTAAAAAGTAATTTAGTTTTGTAAAAAGGTTTAATAAATTTAAATTTTTAGTAAAATTACTTTTTAAACTAGTATTTACTAGTATTCCGTTCTGAGTAGCCCCATTGACGAATTTGGGAACCACCATAAAAGTTTTAATTAAAGCCAAACATCCATACCTTCATCGATGACTTGCTGTTTAATTAAAGAGTAAACACTATTGACTCGGCTGCTCTTGGCGCCAAAATCGTTACACAAATAATTGGATTCTTGCTTGTTTCTCGGTCAAGTTAACATTTCGGGATGTATCACAATAAGCGAAAGTTTCAAATTATTGCAAAATTAATGAGAGAATTCAAGTTTTTTAATTTTTTATTTTTTTTTAGGTCACATCCTGAACTCCTCTGGCATTTAATGCACATCCCTGTGTTCCCAGTGATCTAAAGATAAATCGTGCGTTACATTGTACCATAGATGCTTCTTTGAAGACACAAGTGTGTTCCTTGCACGTTTGTGGCATAAGTGGGCTTCTCTGGCGTTTTCTGTGCACATATGCTTCTCTGATGCCTCGATACCTGTGTTCTATTGCCCTCTCAAGCTTTTGTGAACAGGTGTTTGGATTGTCACATCGAATACACTTTTTTATTTTTACTTTGTTGTTGTTATTTAGTAAAATCTTCAATTTAAAATAAAAATCCAGAGATGTTTCGTTGAGGTGGGGGTAGTCTTTCTTTGAGAGAAATTGATTGGGGGGAGGGGGCTATTTAGGTGTTTTGAAAAGGGGGGGGGGGGCAGAGCATTATTTACACCAAAAGTAGGCATAAATGCAGCTGGGGCCAGCTCTGAATCTGACGCCCACGCCTTACATCAATGGAATTCACCCCGTGTTGGCGCACTTTTCCTCGCATTTTTTTTTTTACCAGCAAATACGATTTTGAAATAAAAGGCATTAAAGTTTCATTTTGCAAACATTTAAAAAAATCTTTTATGAAACTAATTAAATATTTCAAAAGTCATTTATGTGTGCATTAACTTGTGTCAACCCCACCCATTGCTATTTTTCAAAATAAATATCATAATACTTGTAGTAAAACAGTCTNTATATATATATATATATATAATATGTATGTAGCTCGGCTATTATTCTCCCTTGAGTGTCCTCTTCACAAATCGTATCCTGTGCGGGAAGGGGACATAAGTGATTCCTACATGGCCGTCCAGGCGAGGCAACCCTTCTGATTCGGACGGAAGGAGCTGGAAATGTTGGACGATGGATGTCAGGAACAGAAACAGTTCCAGTCGAGCTAAGCCCCGTCCTGGACACATACGGGGACCTGAACAGGAGAAAGGGGAGAAAACATGATTTAAGTTTAAGCGGATTAAGAGAGGGTTTAATAATGCATGAAACCGTCACATTTAGGCATTGCATTGGACCCAAGCAGGGGTGAGCACAACTTTGGGTTGTAATGAACAGTCTTTGTTTTATGGTTTTTGTTGTTTTTTTCTCAATTTGTTTGGTAGAATCTCCACCATAACCATGCCGTCTGGACTTACGAATAAAATATGACGATCCATTTATCGTGTTGTGAGGTGTTTTTTTTTTATTATTTACTGAAGAATTGAACATTTTCTACTTCATGACTAAGTATATTCTAAAAAATCTATATATATAATTCGCCAGCACATGTCAAACACCACCACGCAGGCTATATATAGATACACCAGAGTGTGGTTAAGTAATGAGTTCACTAGCGCGCAAAATATAATCCCCGATAACTACGCTAAAAGATATTTATATACATACACATATATATATATATAATTACACAATTGCGTTTGGAGCGTAATACTTTCTTTTCGGAAATGAAATCGTCTCAATTCAAGTATTGTGTACAAAAATATTCGGTTTAAAAGTGGTTGGGACATGAGAATATTAATATAGTTCATGGGCGTGAAATAAAAAGTGTGCAGTGACGAATCATGGAGGAAGGGGTGTAGCAAATATTGGGATTCTTTTAAATGTGTGTTACTTGAGTTCATGTTTTGTCAAGTAACTTTAGTAGATGGGAAGTTCGCGCATTGCTGTCGCCAATGTTTGGCGGGCTATATCTAGTTAATATATAAATAGAATAAATTACTCGATGTTATCAGGATAATAATGGTAGGTCCTTTGCGATAATGTCTAACTGCTATTGCAAAAATTCATCCCAAGTCATAACTTTTAAAATGTAATATGTACGTTTCTAACATCATTAAGTTTTGAGAAGTGTTTATCTGCTATATATGATACTCGTACCCCACACCCTTTCACGCTCCTAAACTAATGTTCCCCCTATAACGTGACCTTAAATTACCAAGTCTAAATTATCAATAATTATATCATTTTTTTTCTTAAAGATGTTAATTGAGGGACAATTACTACGCTAGAGAAATACTTTAGATTTACCCCGTTTCGTGCCCTTGAATTACAAATTTTTTCTCTCAAAATTAAAAAAAAAAATAATCTTAAATTTACAACAAAAACTCTACATATATAAATATATTTTAAATTATAGGAATTCGATATATAATGATATCTTCATCAAAAAATTTAACACATTTTTGCCTTTTCTTTAAATTATACATTATCAGAAAATCGTAAAACAAAGAATTCTTTTATCTAAGAAGAATCTCGCTACTGCTTTTCACGCCTATATCAAATTTGACTGTCTATTTTAAAAAATAAATTGTTAATCTCATAAAAATACACACCTCTTTACTTTTTTGCAAAGTAACAACAACATATATTTTCTTTTAAATATATATATATATATATTAACCCATCTTCATTTGTCAAAATTTAATTTTCAAGTGTGTAAAATGAATGGGTATTGATATTCATGGAAATACTTACATAAATGTACCCAAGATTTGTTAACGCCATTGATTGTCTTAAATGGTAAACATATGTTTATTTGTAAAAAGAGAATGTAACATCTCTTTTTTCACAAATGTAATACCGTAGGATTTAAATATATTGTCATCCACGTAAAAATGTACACATCCTTTTTCCTATCTCCGATAAGTAAGTACCCAAGAAGGTTAATTATTATTAAGATTAATTCCTTTATTTTCTGATGTATCTTGTATTACATTGGGCAAAATGTAAATACCAATATTTGTAAAAAGAGAATATAACACTTTATTTTTTCACAAATTTAATGCCATAGGTGTTAACTCTGTTGTTATCCACGTAAGAATTTACACATCTTATTTCCTACCTCCGGCATGTATTTACTTAAGAAAATTAATTATTTATCAAGATCATTCCTTTAATTTGAGACGTATCTTGTACTGCCATGGACAAAATGAACATACCCATATTTGTAAAAAGACAACGTAGCATCTTTTTTTCCCAAATGTAATACCATAGAATTTAAATATATTGTCATCCATGTAAAAATTTACACATCCTATTTCCTACCTCTGATATGAATGTACCCAAAAAGTTTAATTATTTATCAAATTCATTCCTTTATTTTGTATCTTGTGCTGCCTGGGGCAAGGCGACCAACCCCTCCCCCAACCAGATTTAAATAAATTTAGAAAATCTTCCACCGGATTGTAGTCCTTTCCATACCCAAACTAACATATTTTGCACTTCATATGTTTTGTTCTTATTTGTATGAGCTATAAGTGGATTATTGAATGCTATTTAGCTATGGAGTTGCACTGCACTGCTTGACTTAAACCACATAAATAAATGTGATTACGGTGTAATTCTTTGATCATGTTTTTTTTAAAAAATGTTTTCATTACTTTCAAACACATAGAATATGTTTCAAATAGTTCCTTAGTCAATACTTTAAATATATTTGTAATTTATAATAATATAACTTTAACTTTTAATAAAATAAAAGCGGATTTAAAATATTTTTGCGCATTTAAATTTATTCGATTTCCGTAAAATAATAGAAAATAACTATGATTGTTTTTAGAAATCCGAAGTACTTAAAAATCATACCTTCCTTTTGGCGTTATGTCACGCTATCTCATTTTTATATATATTCACTCTTTAAGCTATTAACAATATAGGTAAAGGCAAAAATGGGGGGGGGGGGGGGGGGGCAAAAACCTGGCAGTCTTACACGTTACCAGAAATAATAAAGATTAAATCTAGTTTTTAAAAATAGTTGATCCACCCCAGTACACACCTTGGAAAAACGGCAATATCTCAGTGTCTCTGACAACTTCCCCTGCGCCATTCAGGAATCTGCTCGGTATAAACTCATTCGGGTTTTCCCACAGCTCCGGGTCAAGGTGCACGGAGTTGACGTTCGGGATGACGAGAGTTCCTGATGGCACGACGTAGTCGCCGACCTTGACCGGTTCCGTGGTGGCATGGGGCAATGAGAACGGGGCAATGTCGCCGAGTCTCTGGCTTTCGAGGATGACGGCCTCCGTGTACGGCATCTTCTTCTTGTCCAAGATGGACAGCTGCGCCCGGCCGTCCAGGGTTTTTTCGATCTCCCTGTACATCGTCTGCTGGACGTCTTCGTGGTGCACGAGGAATATCAACATCCATCTGAGTGTTGTGGCGGAAGTCTCTGTGCCGGCTGTAAAGAGATCTCCGACAAACTTTAACAACTGGGCATCTGGAACATTCAACCAGTTAAAGTGATGGGGGTATATTCATCAGATTACAATAAATACATCAGATATGAAATGGGTAATGTTCTTTGTTGTGTGTGGTGTGTATTTATTACTATTTATGTGTGTAAAAACGAAAAAAAAATCGACAAAAAGCGGCAATATATATCGAAATCGAAAAAGCTACGTTTTACTATTTCATTGACTTCTTTTTACCATTTGATTAACTTCTTTTTAATTTTTCATTAAAATGTGTTGTGGCTTGAAGCAATGATTCAGCATAGATGCTGAGAAATGGATCTTTAATTTTAGCATACAGTCTAGGGAAATTAGTCTAATTCTAATAAATTTAAAATTTCTAATTAACACATGAACTTTGTACAGCAAATCTTCTGGCTGCAGATTTCTTTTCTTCCCCTTAATCTATGTTACCAAATTTACTCACTAATTCTAAGTGTTTGGGGTAGTCTTAAGCCGCTTTAAACACATAGACAAAAATGTGTAATTCTATGAGTATATAATAATCGATAATTCCAACTATCCCAGAAATGACTACTTTGAACCCTTCATAATCAATGCAGCCGTGAATGGTCCATACCGTCCATTGTTGTATGGCTGTTGGCCTTCACCTTTTCTCTCATCTCCAGGACGTAGTAGTCGATAACATCCCGGGGTTCGCTGGCGTCCAGCGTGCTCACGTGACGCTTTATCCAAGTGTCGAGCGTGCGCTGAACTTTGGCGACGTTGTCCAAGCACAGCCGACATTTGAACAGGTCCCCGGGGAGGTACTCCAGGAAAGGGAAGTAATTCACCAAGGCCGTGGCGCCTGAGACCTTCATGCTCTCGTCGAAGATGTTCAACAGCTCCTTGAATTCCAAATCTTCGTGATCGAATCTCTGACCAAACGATATCGAGCAGATGATATTCGAAACCGCCGTTTGGATGCAGTATCGCGGGTCAAAGTCGGCGCCCCTGGTCGATTCCAGCAATTTGATCAGCGGGTGGAGCTCTTCCAAGACGTTGGCCTCAAAAGTCGTTTTGCCTATCCCGGTCTGGCTCATGAACCTCAGCAGAAAGGCTCTGTGCTCTTTCCAAACGTCGCCAGAGGAGTTGATAACAGCTTGAAGGGGAAGACAATTAGCCATAATAAAGTAGTTACTACTGTGGGGGGTTAGTTACAAGGGTTGAAAATATATTTTTATGACAACTAAGGATAGACCTGAGTTACAACTCTAAACTTATAAATAACTCCATGTCCTGTTGAATACTCCTGGACCAAGATACATTATTATCCTTACCTTGCCCCTGCCTTTACCTTGCCTATGCCGTAGCCTTGCCCATGCCCTTACCCTTTCAAGGCCCTTACCGTTTCAATGACCTTACTTTGGCCTTGCCCTTACCTTTCCCTTGTCCAAATTTCTGCACAGTGAATACCTGCGGCCGTTTATCAAAGTGCTTGCCGAGCTTGACAAACACCTCGCGCAGCATGTTGGAGCCACTGACCACCAGGATGGACTGTCGACCAACGGACAAACCGACAAGGTCACCGTACTGTGCACGCAGTTTTCTGTTGTAATACAGAGAAATAGACCATTGAGAGGAACACGCCACAATCATATGAGAAGAGAACATGTGGGCATTAGACGTGTCTACAGCCCCCCTCTCCTACTTTTACAGATTTTTTTATGGAGATAAATTTAAAAAAAAAATAATGATTTTTATTTTTTTTTTAATTTTAACTAACTTCAAACCACTACAATGTATTGTGTCCTTGTGGCCTCTCACCACCCCACCCCTTTTTTTCATAGATCCGCCACTTAGCGTCGAAAAGGTTTCATCAGTTTCTATTAGTATAAAAATATGAAGTTGTAGAATAGTTGAATGACAATGCTACACTAACACAGAGACTAGTTTAAATGACGCACGGACAACTCTCACTTTTCGCGGCGCGTATTGAAGTGACGTGCACCGCAGGCGATGCTGTGCCGGTACACTTCCGGACAGCAATGTGACGCGATGCTTTGCCTGGTTAACCATAGCATATCTGTAAGTAAGGAGCGGGGGCTTTACAACACACACACACACACACACACAATCACACACACACAAACAAACAAACAAAATAGGAGATCTCTTCAGTAAGGACAAAAAAGGTATTCTTCTTCTTCTTCTTTATTTGAAGGGCCCACGATCAATGAATTGATCATTCTGGCTCCTATGTTTCAGAGGGGTTTGCGATGTTACTGTGCATGGGTTTCAATGGGATACTTCACTGGTTGCTAGGGCGACTCAGCAGTGGTGTTATGAACTGGGGGTAGGAATACAGGAGGCAATAGACACAAATGTCTCGAGTGTAGCCGCCTCAACTGTTGCTTTTGGAAGCTTGTTCCAGTCCCCTATTGTCTTCGGCAGGAATAAGGAGCTTCTGTACTTTGTTCTTGTTTTTACCAGCCGGAACTGTTTGTCGTGACTTCGTCGCAGTCTGGGGGGAAGATGAACGAGTTTCTGTTTGATTCCGGAGCAGTGCACCAGTCCATTTGTTATCTTGTACAACATGGTGAGCCTGGATAGTCGTCGTCGTTCTTCCAATGTCGACCAGCCCAGTGTTTCCAGCATGCTGCCAACACTCGAGGTGCTTCTGTAGCGGTTCATGACAAAGCGTGCTGCCCGTCGCTGGACCGCCTCCAACCTGTCTATGCTTTTCTGGGTAAATGGGTCCCAGACTGTAGAAGCATACTCTAAAATAGGTCGGACAAAGGCTTTATAGGCTTTTTCTTTCACGCTTGAGTTGCCGATCTTCAGATTGCGCCTTAGGAACCCCAGGGTCTTGTTTGCCCGGTTGCACACACTGTTAATGTGCTCGTCCCAGCGGACCTCTCTTTGGATGGTAACACCCAAGTACTTTACGGAGGAAACTGGCTCAAGAATATGGCCATGCAGTTCGTAAGAGTGGTTTAGAGGGAACCTGCTTCTGGAGACTGACAGGGTCTGGCACTTGACGGGATGAAATTCCATGTCCCAGCTCGTCTCCCACTCAGCTAACCGATTGAGGTCTTGTTGAAGCTGGCTCTGGTCAGAGCTGTTGACGATTGTCCTATATACCACCATGTCGTCTGCGAACAGTCTTGTTTGAGAGGTCAGCTTCTCGGGCAGATCATTGATATATGCTAGGAACAAACAAGGGCCTAGCACTGAGCCCTGGGGGACCCCTGACTTAACACCGACAAAGGAGGAGGTTTTGCCATCTACCACTACTGCCTGGGATCGGTCGCTGACGAAGCTAGAGATCCATGTTTTGGTAGTGCCTTGGATCCCATATCTATGCAGTTTGTGTAATAGCAAGCTATGGTTGACACGGTCAAACGCTTTTGAAAAGTCCAGCACAAGTACATCAGTCTGCTTGCTGTTCTCCAAGTTGGTCGTCAACTCTTCAGCAAATTCAAGGAGTTGGGTCTCGCATGATCTGTTGACTCGAAAGCCATGCTGACAGTCATTGAGTATATTATTTATTTCCAGGGGATTATGACCGCGCTTACGATTATGGGTTCCAATAGTTTACATACTACGCTAGTGAGGGATACAGGGCGGTAATTGGCAGGGTCGTAATGCTCTCCTTTTTTGTAGATCGGAGTGACATACGCTGTTCTCCAGTCAGGTGGAACTTTGCCTGTGAATAGCGACGATTGGAAGATGATTGTTAATGCAGGAGCGATTTCTTCGGCCAATTCTTTTAGCACTCGTGGCTTGATGTTGTCAGGACCACATGCCTTGTAGGGGTTAATGGTTTTAAGAAGTTCCAGCACACCCTTCTCTGAGATCTTGATATCTTCCATGGTGGGATAGGCTGTGCTCATCATCTTGGTCTTCAGCAGGAACTCAACTTCTAAGTACTCTCTACCATCCCCAAATACCGACTGGAACTGTTGATTGAGTATGTCCGCCTGTTCTTTGGGTTCAGACGTCAACTTGCCTTCCCATCTCAGGGGGGAAACCCCGATGTTTGTTGACCTTTGATGTTTGACATAGCTCCAGAACCGCTTGTTCTTGGCGGTAGTATCTTCCTCTGAGAAGATGCCGTTCAGGTAGTTCCAGTAGGATCTGCGCAGTAAGTATTTATACTCTATACCGGAATAGAAGCTTCTTCTTACTATTTCGTTCAAATGTATTGTGGCGCGAAACACTGTTTCAACACAGATGCTCAGAAAACTATATTGTGATCTGAGAAAGCTGCATTGTTATCTGAGACGCTACATTGTTATCTGAGAAATCTGCATTGTTATTTCGAGAAAGCTACATTGTTATCTCGAAAAAGCTATATTGTTATCTGAGAAAGCTACATTGTTATCTGAGCAAGCTACATTATCTCGAGAAAGCTACATTGTTATCTGAGAAAGCTACAGTGTTATCTCGAGAAAGCTACATTGTTATCTGAGAATGTTATCTCAAATTTGTGAATGGAGTATAATCAGAAATTAAATGTGAGCGATATGCAAAGGGAAACCAGTAAATTCAGTAACAAATTTGGAATGATTTCCCTTTGTGGCGGTCGAACGACATTCAGTACACTGTTGGTCTTGATTAATTCATTCTTAGATCATAAAAGTCTGCGACTGTCTTATGCATTGTTTAGGGGTTTGTTTAGAAATTAGAATTGTAAATTTAACTTTGCAAACTCGCTCTTATTTCAGAACACCTTGAAATTAAAGACATTTTGCGCCATACTTTAATTACTAAGCACTTATCGTGAACGCCCCCCACCCTTTTTTTCCAACAGATTATTGTGATGCAGTGGGAGTCATGGAATTTCTAACGACTCGCAGGAACATGCGTGTCAGAACTTACCTGAATAGTTCCCTCTTGTCACCTCTCATCAACAAGAACAGGTGACCCACTAAGGGCCAGGCCCATGGACCAGGCGCGGGTCGCTGCCGGCGTCTCTGAGAGACCCACCACAACACAAAAGTCACGGTTGTGACGAGAAGGATCAGGATGTGGTCACTGATAAG